ATCAATGAAGTACTCTGCTGAGAGGAGCAACAGGCGGGTCAGGAGAGGTCTGCCATGCCATGTGGTCACCTCCGGGGCAGGCGGGAATCGAACTCATGCAGAAGTGGCTTAAGCTTCTTTGTGCTGTGCTTTAACCCGCTGTGCCACCAGGGAGGGCCCAACATGAGCAAGTCTTTTAATAGGCCTAGACTGATAGTATAGCCTCAATCTCCATAATGAATTATCCTAGTATTTAGATCCTAAATAAGATACAAGCTAATATTAGCAGTTCATGTTATAACATAAAACAGGTTTTGGAAAATCATCATATTCAGCATGTCACATTAAAATTAGTATCAATTGGTATTGGCTAAGAAACACATATTGGAAATTATTACTAATGTTGAATGCAATAGATAAATTTTTCACTGTATAAGCTTAACTCTTTAATATAAAATACTATTCTGAACACATTAAAGCAATAAAAATATGACAATAGTATTAGGACTCTTACTTTATTAAAATACAAAGAATATACTTATCATTTTAAACACAAATGTGTCTGGATATGCCTTAATTCTTGATAGAGAATTCTGGCTAAGTGTTCATTCAAATCAAATGGCAAGCACAGATTTCATGATTGAGTTAAAGTACAGCTTTTGCTGATGAATAGCATTTAAGATAAAGCATTTGTTATTTTATATAATTCTAGAATAGTATCCATCTAAATCCATAGAGAGAGATACTCAGCACTATATGTATTTTCTCATTCACTCTCACTGTTATTTAACTATGACCTGGAAAAGGGCTTTGCATGTGGCATTTTATAGGTTCTTGATGAATAGTAATTGAAAAGTAAACAAGAAGGGCTTTTAACAAAAATTTAAAAATAGTAACAATTAAACGAAAGATTCAGCTGAGCATGAGGTGATAATGAGGACACAGGCAGTTGGGGATGAGAACCAGACTCCATACAATCCCAGCCTTTCCTTCCCTACTTTGCAGATAAATGGATGCCCAGAAATGTAAACAAGTTTCCTAAGTCACCACAAATTGCAGGTGCTGAGCTCTGATTAATGTCTGCTTCATAAGACTAAACGCTTGCTTATTCTTAGGTTTCTAGAAGGAAAGGGGAAGCTGCTAGGTGTTTGAAAAGTGTACATATTTCTTCGGGGAAGACGACATGTTGAGTTGACAGTGTAATCTGATTGGTTTTTTTTAGTTCAAATTTACATTTACTAGGTACATCTTCTCTGACTAGGGAAAAAAGTGCCAGTGGATATAGGGATTGCACCTGACATTCATAATTAGTCTGTAAACAACACAGTAGAATTCACTAAACTTAAAACAGTAACAAAAGTCTCATTTAATCATTTAAATGAAAAAAAGTAGGTCCTCTCTGGTGTGCAGCCTGTTAAAGCACAGCACTGTCAGCTAGCCGCAGCCACTTCAGTGCAAGTTCGATCCCACCCCTCTCCCTGTAGGTGACCCACATGGCGCAGCAGACCTCTCCTGACTGCCCACTGCTCCCCTCAGCAATTAAGCTTCATCAGTCAGCCTGTTCTGCTTCTGCTCTGTCTCTGGTGACTCCTCTCACCGCCCCTGCACCTCTGGCTGCACCCCAGCTCTGTATCCATAACTAAATAAAACTGGGGGGGGTGGAGAGAGAAAGAAAGTATATTGATAGACACATTTAAAACCAGTGCAGAAAAACTGGAGCATGAAAGACTCTCCTTTAGTAGATACTGAGAGCTAACCCAGTTCATGCCGAAGGTACAGCTGTGTCCTTCAAGAAGCACACTCTCTCTGTAGATGTTCCCAGTTTTCCTGAAATTGGAAGATGAATAAACCTCAATTACCAAGAACCTTTCTACTTTTAAAGTTGGCCAAAGGCACCTTTTTCTTAACCTTTTCCCTCACTGACACAATCAAGTCAAACATGTAAGAGGCTGCCCTAAAATCTCAGGTCAAACTTTGGAGGTGAAGGATGTGTTTCAAGAACAGAAAAGATTTTTTTATTTTAGTTTTCAGTCTATCCATTCCTTTTGGTTCAATTACTGAATACTGGATTTAGCTCAGATTGCCCACTTGGACACAAACAAAAGTAATGAAGCATCAATAACTGGAGTTTTCCTTTCCTTTAGTGAAACTCTAAGCACTTTTGTCTCTGAAACTGTATAATAGTTTTAGCACTTATCAAAGCCTTCAACTTACAGGATAAAACATTTCTCTGAGCAGTCTTTTGGGGGGCTGTCTGTGTGTAATTCTTCTCCTGTTTCTTTATGCTTTTAGTCAGTGTACTACCAACACAGATTTCCCCCACCCTTTGATAGCACAGAACCAGAAATATGCTTTCTCATCTTTCCAGAAATAAGCTTTCTTAAAGTACCTTTAATGTCCCCCACTTCACTTGGACATCCTTCCAAGCCCCAGTTCCTGAACACACTTGTGACATCTTGGTTATGAACGTCATTCACCCCAGGATGTCTTAAGTCCTTTCTTAATCTGACACTGCTTCCTGTGAGTGTCTTTCTCTCGGGAAAGCTACCAGGTGGTGTCTGAATTGACAGAAATCACAGAGAGCAGAAGTGGTGCGCCATGGCGAGGGCTGGAGACATCTGGAACTCTTCTTCTCTTGCTGCTATATCAAATAATGCTGTATCCTTCCTGCCAGATTCTCTCTGCCTGTGTCACTTAACACAGTGTCCAATCCTGCAGTGATGACATGTGCTCTAAGCAGGTGTGGTCTTTGTGACTCTGAACCCCTGCCCTCCTGGCAGTGGGGCTTTCTGGTCTCCTCACCTGCACCACCCCCTCCCCTTCCTGCCCCCTAGAGCTACTTCTGTTTGCCGGTTGTCTCTGTGCAACCCTTCTCCTATTTGAAGTCGCCGAGCTATGCGACCCTGTCCCTCTCGGATGTCTCCTTTACTGGCTCCCCTTGACTCTGCAACAATCCCTGTGGTTTCTGAATCTTTACCTGCTACCTCTTCCCTTTTTACTAGGTCATCAGTCATTTTTTTCACTGCTAAATATGCCAGTCACCCAGATTTCTGTTATTAGACATTTTTCTCTTTTCATTCAGAATGTTCTCAACAACTAGTCACACCCAAGAACTCATGTCCAACTAATCATAGCCAAGACTTCAATCACAGCTTTAATACAGAGGGAGCTTAAATAACTCCCAAGCCACAGACGTGTAGCTGCAATTGGCTGTTAGGCAGAAATTCTTAGGTGTTTGTGAACTGGCTGGTAAACCTTTCTACAATTTGCAATATTATAGAGTCTAAATAAGTAATTGACAAATGATATAATTATAAAAATAAGCAATGTTTTGCCTAGATGTGTCATAAAAGTGCTTAAAACTGTAAGGCTCAAACACATGGCAGAATTAGCTGGTTTAAGATGACTCATATACCCAAAGGACTTCTGCTAATGTAACATCTCACTTAATAAAAACACATCATGCAAACGGCATAAAGAAATGTCTTTTGAGAGAAGAAGCTGATCAGAAATCGTAACACTGGCTAGCTGTGTTGCAGTTAACTATGCAGAACAGACAGTTTCCTGGAGAACACTTGAATCTTCAGAATTTATGGAAATAACAAAGAAGACATCTATATGCCATTCAGTCTACACATCACATTCATCTGTACCAATATAAAGTTTAGCAATTCCATGAAGCAAAGGGTTACATGTTACTTTGGTTTACTAACTTTTAAAGAAATAATAGCTCTTTGTTAAGTTACATGACTTCCGAGCCCACACAACTGACAGGTGGGTCCCTGACGAAAGTACCAAGTCTGGGCACGCAGTACCCACTCCTTTCACTCCGCGGTGCTAAGAAAGTGTCAGCGATCGACAATGAATGTATAATTAACATCTCAAGTGAAGGCAGTGTACACTTTATTTACTTCTATATTTCCTTCTTCCTAATCCATTTTAATTTTAATTAAAGAATCCTATGGCTCTTCTATTTAAATAAATCTCTCTGTCGGTGTGGGAAAAAATGGCAGTTAATCCTACTCCCTAAATACATTTACCGATCCTCAAGAGATGGAAAGGAATTATAGCAAGGCTGAGTGACCATGCTTCAGTAATGTCCTCTTTGTTCACACAGCTTGGATTCCATAAGCTTCCAAATAACACAGGTTTTAAGCGCAGGAAACTACCACAGCCCGATCTTATCAAACAGTTAGTGACCAGGATTTCACTTCCACTATTATTATTGTAATTGCAATTTTAATAACTTAAGAATTACAGTCTACTTAGTTTTAGTGACTAATTTATTAGCATATTCAATTTAAAAGTTTTTTGGAGAAGAAAGAACGGAAGTTTTCTATGTGTAAGGCATTCAGAATAAGAATTTTACTTGAACTAACATTTATGACTAATGGACAATCTTGCAAAGTGTCTTATCTTACTTTGTTTTTACAATGTCATGTTAAAATAGCAGATATAATGTTAGTTACTAAATAACGAGTGTGTTTATGGTCCTTTTATTTACATTTTTGAAAGATCTCATTAACAGAAAGCTACTTTGAGTAAAAAAAAATTATGTTGGAATTGAAGTCAACTTTACATCTATATATTTTTTGTCTATATTCCATTTTCACAAAATGTTTCCAGGTTGTGAATCAAAGCTTCACTCACACATCACAAAGAGAATTATATCTATGCACTTTTAAAACCTTGGAATATTATGAACTTTCTGTCATATAATGGAGGACTCTGACTGTGTGGTCACATCTCTGCTCATAATCATTCCTTGAGGATCAAGATTCAGTTATGCTTTTATTAGGACCTAAGCATAGGGACGATTTATTTTTCTTCTACAATACTGATTAGAAACAGAGCTGATTTTACATCATGATCATGAAGTACAGTGTGGCCTGTATACATTACACAGTGCCACCTAAGGATCAAGAGTCAATCTCCTCTTTTTGGATTCCAAGATTTACCATAAAAATGCTTTATCGTATAGCATCTATATAATTTTTCTTCTTTTTGTCGCTTCTTTGTAGTTGTTTGAAATTACAGTGCCTCTCTCTCAAGGCCCCAAACCAGTAACCATCAGTTTTGCCAACCACACCTCCTGCCGGTGCATGTCTAAGCTGGATGTTTACAGACAAGTCCATTCAATTATTAGACGTTCCCTGCCAGCAACACTACCGCAGTGAGTATGAATTTAATCTGGTCTTTGCTGCTTGCTCTACTAATATAAAGTTACTCTCAGTTAAATAGTTTCTTTAAGGAGTTTTTGCTCTAATGTACTTAGCCTGAATATAAGACAATTTAATAGTGCGCCGTGGAAATAAAATTCACCTGGAACAAGGAAGCCCATCTTATTGACAGTGTAACTCCCACTATAAAAGGAGTATTTCGGGGGCCTGTCTAGTGGCCTTGGGGTTAAGTATTAGCAATGTTCCTCTGTGGCCTGGGTTCGATCCCTGGCCAAGGAGGTGACCCACATGGCCCAGCAGACCTCTCCTGTCTCCCTGCTGCTCCCTTCAGCAGTGGATTTCAGTCACTCTGCCTGTTCTGCTCCCCCCTGTATCCCTGGTGAATCCGCTCACCCCTCACATCTCCAGCCTGCACCCCAGTTCTTCTATGCATAAGTAAACAAATTCCTAAAAAAATTAATTTCTCTGAATTTGCCCTTATTCCCCCAGTATTTGACCATCAACTAGCTACCAGATAACACATTCAGGAAGCCTGGTAACTCACTCACACAGATGTAAAGCTAAAAACATTTTATCCTTGATATAAAAAATGGAGATAAACTGTTTTTACATCTATCAGCAGTTTACTTACTTTTTTCAACCTTACTTCCTTGTGTTAAACTATTCATATCTTCATTTCAACAAGGATTGAATACTTAAAGATTCAGTAAGTGCATTAAGAAAGAATTTTCTCATAATTTTCTCCCAATTAACATTTAAAGCAGTATTTGTACTCATATTTCCTGATTTTTTAGCCTGATAAGTGGTGGCTTATGCATCATTTGATTGCGTAGGGCTACGGTGGATCATTTTGCTTTAAAGCCTGAGAGTTTTGCCCCAAAGTGAAGCTGTAGCTCTTTGCTCTTTAGGATAGCCAGTGCCTGTGGAGCGGCATGTGGATACTGTCTACCTGCTCCACATTGGTAACAAAAATTATGAATAAATTGATGAGCAAAGATAGGTATTTTTTTTAAAAAGATTTATTTATTTGTACACACAGAACTGGGGTACAGGCCAGAGGCTCAGGGGTGGTGAGAGGCTTCACCAGAGACAGAGTGGGGAGCAGAACAGGCAGATCGACGAAGTACACTGCTGAGGGGAGCAGCAGGCGGGTCAGGAGAGGTCTGCCGCGCCCTGTGGTCACCTCCGGGGCAGGTGGGAATCGAACTCATGTGGAAGTGGCTTTAGCTTCTCAGTGCTGTGCTTTAACCCGCTGCGCCACAAGGAAGGGCCCAAACATAGGTATTTTTAAACTTGTGGAGAAAACCTTCATTTTAGGGAACCTGACAATGTGACATGCTACTAGCAGCCATTCCGTGGAATCTCTTTACTGCTTTATTTAGTGAGCCAAACAGGAGGCTTTATTTTTCCTAGGACTCAAAGAAAAACTGGGGAATAGTCTCATGTATGTGACAGAGATCCGGCCCCTCCAGTGTGAGAAAGAAAAGGTTTGCAGACACCTGGGATAAAGCCACGCTGACATAAGAGACGGTGTCTCGCCGAGGAGCCTGGCCAGGGCCTGCCCGCTCTGCTTCCCCTGGGGGCCCTATGAGCTAGCTGTTGTCTCTGGGCAGCGGCGTCCAGGAGTACAGTTCACAATCTGACCATACCGGTGACTGAAGCATGAATTCCAAAGGTCATCTGCACCGCTATGATTATGGCTGCCCTGTTTACAACAGGGAAGGTGTGGAATCAACCCAGTGCCCAAAACTAGGTGACTGGGTCAAGAAGAGGGGGTGCATATACATAGTGGGATATTACTCAGCAGTTAAAAAGATAAATGCACGCCGTTCACAGCATCGTGGGTGGAGCTGGAAGGGATCATGCTCAATGAAATAAGCCAGAAAGAAAATACCTTACGGTTTCGCTCATAGGAGGAATGGAGGGAAGCCAAATAAGGGAGCAATAATAAATTTTAAAACAAAATTAATAGGTAACTATAAATCAGAAACATCTGCAGAGGAGAGGGAGGGAGAGGATCAAAACAAGAGGGAGGTGCTCACGGGACTATGGTGAGGGCGCACAGGTGAGCTGGTGGTGGGGAATCTGGGGAGCATCTGAGAGGAGAGAGCAGCATTGCACTAAAAGGAAGAATGATGTAAAACCTATATAAAGTGAAAAATAATGAAATGCTTCATCTAAGTTCATCTTACACTGCTCCACTTATAAGTGAAATGGAATAGGTTAATATATGACAGTATATTTTTAACTACCAGATGGATTCATGATTTGCTAAGTGTTTACTTCTACCTTGCTCACAGTGGCAGTTTCATATTCACATCACACAGTGGTTACTAACGGTCGCCCCTTATGGCACACCCAGGCTCCACCGATTATTTGGGGGGCCAGGCTACGTGGGGCTTCGTTTCTGCCCCTGCCTTCCTGCTCCACTCCGTTCTGCGTGTGTAGGTGACATAGGCGGTGGCGTCTAACTCGTCTTGGATCAGCTCTTCTGAAATCTGTATAAAGCCCCGTGCGCTTTAACGTGCATCTTCCATTCACCTGACCAGAAATGGTGGCTTCAAGCCTCTGAGGTTGCAGCACGTTTCCGCCTCCCTCTCTGACATCTGCCTTCCTTTCTTGTCTCCTGTCCCCTTATTCATCCCCGATTCCCTGAATACCAATCTCATTGCCTGTTTATATCTTATTTCTGTTCTGACCCTAGATTAAAAAAAACACTCCTCTCTTTTTTCTGCCTTACTCATCCCTCAAGTAAAGGCAGAGGGCATTATGCTGCATTTCTCTTGCCAACAATCTCACCATCTTTGCCTCTGACTACCCTTAGTCACTGCTGGATGGTTTTGCCCTTCTTTGGATTTATGGGGTCTGCAAATGTCACATTACAACTGAGTGCTGAGATGTTTCAGGTAGGTTAATAGCCTCCATAGTATGTAGATATGATACGTAAAAATAATTGAGTCACTAGCATAGTTTTGCACACCTGGTCACAGCTGTACAGTGTTTATTGATGAGCTATTTATGTTGAGTCCTCTGTGTGGATAACACTGTTCTAGGAAATGGGATTTTTTTTAGAAAATGAGTAATGGGGCGCTCCCTGGTGGTGCAGTGGCTTAGCGCACAGCACTGTGAAGCTGTCTGCAGCCTCTGGCTCGAGTTCAGTCCCCTGCCACATGGCACAACAGACCTCTCCTGACCCGCCCGCTGCTGCCCTTTGCAGTGTATTTCAGTACATCTGCCTGTTCTGCTCCCCATTCTGCCTCTAGTGAATCCTCTCATCCCCCCACACCTCTGGCCTGTGCCCCAGTTCTTGTCTGCCCCAATTCTTGAAAGATTTAAATAAATAAATCTTTTAAAAAAAATGCATAATGTGGCCCTCCCTGGTGGCACAGCGGGTTAAAGCACAGCACAAAGAAGCTTAAGCCGCTTCGCATGAGTTTGATCCCCCCCCCTGCCCCGGAGGTGACCCCATGGCGCGGCAGACCTCTCCTGACCCGCCCGCTGCTTCCCTCAGTAGTGTACTTCGTGGTCTCCCCGCTCTGTCTCTGGTGAATCCTCTCACCCTCTGCATCTCTGGCTTGTACCCCAGTTCTGTACAAATAAATAATCTTTTAAAAAAATGCATAATGCAGTCCTTCCCTAAGGAAATGCATGTTTAAGAGTCCAAGTAACCCAGATATTCGGGATACAGTGAGTATGTTAAGTAGTCTGCTGTGTTCGTTCAGTCACTCATCAAGCAGTTGCCATGTGCCTGCGACTGTACTGCTGCCAGTGTTGTACTGGGGTGTCGAGTGGAGAGGTGTGTTCTAGAGAAACCCCAGAAGTGTGTGAGACATGTACACATGACTGAAATCTGAGCGTAGAGGAAGCGTGCTAGGTGCGTGTCTGCAGTGGGATGCGGAGAGGATCTGAAAGGGTCTGAACAGTTACAGAGACGTGCACCTGCCAGGCTAGGGGTGACCTTTGTCTTAAAGTTTGTCAAGAGCCACTTGACACCTGAAGGAGTTTGATGGCCACATTTACTTATAGGAAGTACACCTGACGACAATATACCAGGTGGGTTAGGGAGCAAAATTAGATGTGGAATTACTGAAAAGGAAGCTTCCGAATTTTGTAAGAAAAGAGTAGAGTGGGGGCTGAGGCAGGAGAAGGACATGGAAAGACATGTGAAGTAGAAGGACAAGAGGGAGGGGCAGGAAAAAGAATTTGCGTGTTGACCCCAGACCTGAGGATGTAGCAGGGGCGGGGGAGGGAGGGGCCAGACAGGGGCGGGGCCGGAGCACTGGTGGGGCGGGGCTACGGGGAGAAGGCAAATACTGCCGGAATGAACACTGGTACAAGAAAATAAGTATACACATTGAAGTTTTTAAAAAGGGAGGAGAAATTGAGGGGTGATATTCAAAGCCACGGGGGATACCTGCTCGCAGGAAGAAGGGATTGGAGAGAATTTCTCGTTGGCATGCATAATTTGTGTATTTGCGGTTCGGTGTTTTATTACCCTCATTCATGCGTTTCTATTTTTATGACATAAGAACATGCAGATATACCACAAGAGATGATAAAGTACCTCCTTACTGTTGACAGTTTTTGTGAAAATGATGACATTACCTTTACCTTTCTTTGTTTTTAAATTTTATTAATTTACGCATACAGAACTAGGGTACAGGCCAGAGGTCAGGGGACAAGAGGACTCACCAGAGACAGAGGGGGGAGCAGAACAGGCAGGTCTACTGAAACACACTGCTGAGGGGAGCAGTGGCTGGGTCAGGAGAGGTCTGCTGAGCCACCTTCAGCTATGTTTTTGAGATGTGATCTTATTGATGTAGGCCTAGTTTGTGTACTTAGTGGTGGCATGATCGCATTCCAGTATATAAATAAGTAAATAAATAATTGAGTTTTGTGCCTATTTCCAACAGTATGCTAAAGGGAAAGCAATCCACTATAAATATCAGGAAGCAAATCATAGAAAAATGATGTCACATTTGAGACATTGATACCTTAAAGTTAATTTTACACCGTGGCAAATTTATTAATTGGTTACTGGTGACAATGTCCCCAAAGGAAATGACATGTTCTGGTTATAGTGTGTAGACAAGAATAATTGAATAGGATTTAATTTGTGAAGCAAGAGGATACAGAGGCTAATTTTGAAAGGCAATGCTCTGCTTATGAAGCTGTGAGAATCAGCCCAGGGAGTTCCCCTTATTTGTGGAGGTGTTGAGGTAGCACAGGAAGCTTTTGGGGGAGAAGAGTGACAAGACAATGTTCAGCAGAGCCAAGATAGGTCCGCTGCTAAATGACTAGCACACACAGGCTACGTATTATTTCAGCCTAACCAAGACACTGCTCCTTCGGGAAGGAGTCATAGTGAATGAACGAGAGCCAAAGGGCTTCAAAGGATGAGAAAATGAGTAAGTCTAGTTGACAGCACAACTGAGTTTTATTTCTTTATTTCTTTTATAAAAGTGCCATGCTAACTAAATAAAACATGTTTGCTTCTAAGAAGTTATAGTTACTGAAGTTAATTAAGGAAAATTTCATCTCGTGCAAACTCATTTCTTCTTCAAGGCACGGAGTGAATTTACAGGGCAGGCAACCTTTGATTTAGAACTTGGTTGCTCAGTGTCTTTAGACTGTTAATTTAGAACAGATCTGCAGCCCAAATGATTAGAAGCTTGAATATCCATGAATGCTTCTTTTATCTCTTTTATTTTTTCATTCTTTCCCTTTTTGTTCATACATTGTTGCCTTACAAAGAATAGAGATAAACAGATTATGATGATAATTTAATAAAATATATTAGAACAGAAATGGAGAGATAATATATACGCCAAGTGAATTGGATCATAGTCTTGTACCAGTGGATCAGAAACTGCCCCCACCCCCAGCATTTAAAGCATGCATCATTGTTGCATGGAGATATCCTCTTTGCAAGTTCAAAATACTTATATTCTTACACATTTTTGAAATTTTAATTCATACATCTGTTCATCCTCTGTTCTACAAATCTCATTGTCTAAATTTGGTAGAACGCCTTTAAATGAACTCCTATTGACATGAATCAGTTTACCAGTGGAATTCAGATAACAGAATCTAGATTCTGAAGCATAACTATAAAGTGTACCTGCCTTTGCTCTCTGGCTTCTGCCTTTTAGTAGATAATAATTGAAAGCATAGCATGTACTGATTAACTGATAGAAACTGCATCATAATGTTTATGGCACAGAAGTTCCTACCAAGACATCACCTGCACTGAGCTTGTGTCTGTGGTGTTACCTTGGAAGTAAGGGCTATTAGAGAAGATTTTTGTGAATTGTAATGTCAAGTTCAAATAAAACACATGTATGATTGTTTTTATAACACCTATATTAAAAAGTAAAGCAATGTCTACATTACATTAAATCTATCAGTAAACCTCTAAAACTTCTTAATAGAGCACTAGAGCTGATTAGTGACATGGAACATAAACATGAGTTGAATATTACTCTTTCATTTCCATTCTATAGTAATTCCTCTTCTAAGTAGATGAGAAAACCAACATCTGTGAAGATAAAGCCACATGTATTCAAGGGCCATGTCTGATAAAGTCAAAGTAAATATTACAGTTCAAAGACAATTGGGATAAAACTGTTAAAACATTACACCCAGCACTCTTTGACTCTGATAATAAAAGAATATAGTTGCTATTCCTGCTGCTTCTCAGATGTCAGTCTTGGGCAAAAAGGCTCTGGATTTATGTTCTTCCATAATAAAACTGCAGTTTTGTATGATGTTCATCATAATTTTTTCTGAATGGAATCCAGAGTGTCTTATTGGATATCCCTTGGAAAGATATTCTAACGGGAATAGGACAGTTTCAGTCATGTTTTCAATACTGTACTGGATCACATTCTATAGTTAATGAGACTTAGTAGAAATAGCTGTCTGAGAATCCCATTTAAGGGCTGTATTTGCCACAGAATGATCAATAGCACAGATTATCTCCAAAGAGAGAATTTGTTTTTTAGAATAGCGATTGGATATTAGACTTTTAATTTGTGTTCTATTAAGGTTAGTATTCATGTTTGAATGACCTATAACCCATTTTAAGAGATATTTAGCACAGTGACCCATTAAGTAGCTTAATATAATTCAGGATGCAACTAAATTTTTCAGTGGAAACAGTTTACTAAGACTGTACTTTGAAAAAGAATGATAATTCAGTTTAGTTATAGTTAATGCCAAATAGAAGTTGGTAGTGCATTCTGTTTCCTTAAATCTGAACCTGGGGGAGTCAGGGAATTCCTAAGTTTTATATATATATGGAAACCTCAGTGCCAAAAATTAGAGGACATGAATCAAAAAACATTATGGAGACAAAAGTCTACCATGTTCAAAGAACCATTGATTATTACTCAATAAGTAGAATTTAATCTAACAAAACTTATATGGAACATTTAAACCTTTCAGAATTTCATTTTTTAAATGAGTGAGAAGTAATGGAAGATTAGATTGATCTTATTCATTAAATCTGTTGTTTTCTAAGCTATATACCCTGAATGGTTTCCCTCTGATTTAAGCTAGCAGAAAAAACAATAACTACCCAACCAAAGTCCAATGGAGTTTTAAATGAAATAAGTTTAAAACTCAGTAATGTTAACCAGGTTTGGAAATATCACTATGAACTGAGGTTTTTTCCCCCTAAAAATAGTCCTACATATCTTTTGGGAATCAATAATCTTTTCTAACATTATGAGGATTTACACACACTTTTGTTTTTTAAAATGTTTATTGTTTTAAATTAGAAGAATTATAATGAATGGTAGGTAAATCTAAAACATAACTCCTTTCATAGAAAGTAGCTTAAAGACAGGAGTATCCTGCAGAACACTAACATACTCTTCTGGAAGAATGCAAAACACTCAGACCTTGTTTCCATATCATCCAGTGATTATTTCGGTTGTCAGCACACATGGGCATTTGCATACTGTTTGAGAAATCACTCACTGGTACAGGGCAACAAATAACACACAGTCCAAAAGTTGTTTTAAAAAAACAATAAATTAAGTTCAAAAAAGCTTGCCATCATAGATTTCCCCTCCAGCCTAGAGAAGAGAAGCCCCATAAATAATGTTAACAAGGCAGGAGGAACCAGGTTCAAGCATCCACTGTACCCTATTCTGTTTTAGGTCAGCTCTCATTAAAGACGAACAGATTCTCTGGGTCTTGAAGGTGCTGGAGAGACTTTGTGTTGGAAAAGTTTAATGAATACTCCAAGGTGATAGTGAAGAAAAGGAGGAAATGGTTTAAAACACAGGTTTTCTTATTCTTCTGTTCAAAAATGCCCTCAAAATTCTTGCTGATAAAAGACTTCAAGCTATTTTTAAAAGAAAGAGTGGGGATTTTGTATTCATAGACCTTTTTAGTTATGGGGCTCTCTGCTTCCAAAATATGTCAGTAAATGTATATATACAAGGATGTTTCCAAAAAATTGCAACTTCAGTAGCTTCCAGTAGCAGATGAGTAAGTGGATAATGGTATATCCATCTTTGAAATACCGTGCAACTCTTAAAAGTCATGGGACACAAAAACTTGAAAAAATAGCATACACATAGATCCATAATATATTGCAGTGGACAAAGGAGATTTCAGAGGAATAGAAGAATATTTGTTTCATTTTTTCACAAACTGAAAAAAACGATATACAAATAGATGTACTTGCTTTAAAAAATCAAGGGCAAAAGTGGTATAAGATGGTACTGCTTAAGGTCAACTCTAAGACTAGAATTCAACAGCATTTACAGATTGGAAGGGTGAGAGGGAAATTTGATATTTCACTTTATATAGTTTGACATTACTTGAAGCTCCTCTGTAAGCATGTGTTAGCCGTGTCATTTTTATACAAGAAAGAGATGACCCTCGCTGTACCAGTTTACTTGTCACTTAACCGGCCTATCTCTTCTGAAGGTGTCAGGCTGCAAACAAGACTTGCCCCACAAATTATATGTGGAATAATCATATCTGCAGATGCCTGGCTCAACAGGATTTTATTTTTTCCTCTAACACTGGAGATGGTAAGTGGTATGATGCTTTGATAATTGAAAGCCTTGATTGAGTCACTGTTTTGATTAACAAGTAATGTAATACATAAATGACTAAATGGAAAAGTTTGTCCTTCATCTTTGGCATCATTTAAAACTTCTTTGTAACCTATCTTGGTGCCCATGCATTTCATATAAGGCATAAGACACTTTCAAATGCTTATGGTTGTTTGATTCTACTCCAACACTGGGTTGAGGTAGTAATTGGCTCTGATTGCCTCTGCCTAGATTCTCCAGGTGAATACCATGACATCTGTGGGCCCCACAAAGAACTGGATGAAGAAACCTGTCAATGTGTCTGCAAAGGGGGGCTCCGGCCCTCCAGCTGTGGGCCCCACAAAGAACTGGACAGAAACTCATGCCAGTGTGTCTGTAAAAACAAACTTTTCCCCAACTCTTGTGGGGCCAACAGAGAGTTTGATGAAAACACGTGCCAGTGTGTATGTAAACGGACCTGTCCAAGAAATCAACCCCTAAACCCTGCAAAATGTGCCTGTGAATGTACAGAAAATCCACAAAAATGCTTCTTAAAAGGAAAGAAGTTCCACCATCAAACATGCAGGTAAGAATTCTTCATACATAGTAATCATTCTTTGAGTATATAGACTTTTCTCAAAACTTACAAAGAATTTTTCTCCACCAAAATGCTAATTGCTTGCTAGAATGAGACCAGGTGATCCAGAAGATAAATTCTGATACTTTATCGCCCGCTACTAACGTTTTGTTAGACTGGGTTTGCTCCCCAAAAAGCAAGACAGGAGTCCTGAGATTCAAACCAGAATCAAGCTCAGAATCTTTTGGAAATCCTTGCTCCAGAGGCTAAGGCAAGGACCTCAGTGCCTATGGAGGGCAGATGCATAGCACAGACACCTGTAGAGAATAAACCTAGGAGGTGTATACCTGCACCCACCAATACCCCACCTTCAGATGTCACATAGGATAAATGTTCGATGCACAGAGCATTCTTGTGCATATGTACACGATAGGAAAGTACCATTACTATAGATTTGCCTCTAGAGATGCAAATAAGTTAAATGTCTAGTGGAATTTAAAGAAATAATATGCTGTTAAAGATTCTTAAGAACTGTTCTTTAAACATTGATTTTGTTTCCTCTCTTGAATATTTTGCACGATAACCATAGTCTAATTTTATTTTCATAAGCTTAAATAATTACCAAAAGGATGTTTCAGACTTAAATGTTACTAAAGATTGTTGAGCATACATATATTGAAACAGCTGAAATGTTTAGTTTTCATAACACTTAATCTTGATAAATATTAACTGCCAAAGGAGGTTGGCAGAATGTGTATTCTTTGGGCTCCTGTCTTTATCAGTAACTTTCACTGATAATTTATCTTTTAATTGAGGAATATTGTGGTCTTGCCATAATGTACACTCTTAAGTGAAAAGAAATAACAACTTAACTAAATGTGTTTTTCTGTTCTGCAAGAGACTGAAATTCAGAATCCCACCTATAATCTTTCTGTAGTGTTCTCAAGTCGGATCGTTTGCATTTTCCCTGTACACACACTCCCCTTCCTACATGTGAGCTAGAGTTAATCTTCCGTTATTCAAAGATACTGAGGATTTGTTGGAGCAATAGAGCTAATCTGTTATAGACTATTGCTCATCATTTCCTTTCACCACTCCCGGAAACTGCGCGTCTGGGATGGAAGGAGAAGACCCACCACACTGAAGCCTACCTGTCACGTGGGTGGGCACGCACACAGCTGGAGAAGGGAGGAGCCTCCATCATGGTTGCCATGGAGACACGGGGTGGTGTGTGCCTCCTCCCTGAGGACCACAGTTCTCCCAACATGGCTGCCTCCTACCTAAATAATCCCCGTTTTATGTTACTTTCATCCACAGAGCAGAGCACACACACATCAAAAGAACTAGTTTAAGGGGGGGAAAAAAAATAGGAACTAGTGCTTGGAACAGTCTCATTCCCCATGTGTTCCATCCACGAGCTAAGATGCTATTATTTTAGGCTTTCCAATCTTTCTTAAGTTGTATAATTCTAAGCACAAACTTTCACAGTGTACTCAACTGAACAATTTGATGATAAAATGAGTCATTTTGTTTTTGTTTGGAATTGAGAAAAGCATGAAAGGCGATTTATGAGAGCAGGATGAATTCATCGCCTTGGTGCTTAAACAAGTGTGTTCCTCCTTGTCTTCCTAGTTGTTACAGACGACCGTGTCCTACTCGGCTCAAGCATTGTGAGCAGGGACTTTCATTCAGTGAAGAGGTGTGTCGCTGTGTCCCTTCCTATTGGAAAAGGCCACACGTGAACTAAGATTGGATTGTTCTCCAGTTCATCCTTCCAGCTTTCCGTGTCATGGAAATCTGTGTCACCACCTCAGAATTGTCTGTGAACTGAGAGACTTCTGTGGGGCTCTGAGAACAAGCATGCAAGTCGGTGTTTCCAGAAGCTTGTGGACAACTTTACAGAAGTGGACTGGAGTTCATCTGCAAAGACCTCTTGCAAAGACTGGTTTTCTACCAATGGCCAAACAGCCAAGGTTTTTCTCTTGTGATTTAAAAATAATGACTATATAATTTATTTCCACTAAAAAATATTGTTTCTGCATTCATTTTTATAGCAATAACAATTGGTAAAGCTCACTGTGATTCAATATTTTTATATCATGCAAAATATGTTTAAAATAAAATGAAAATTGTATTATACGTTGGTAAATCCTGTCTATTATCATCTTACACCATAAGCAATCCTTGCTATTATGAAAACCTTCATCTTCTTCTGCTCTTTTTCTTTTCCTCCAACAGGAAGTCAGGATTTGATGGCTTGAATAAGTCTGGTTCTATAAAAGAAATATCAGTGGAACAGCTGTTGCTATACATGCTATTCAAATTCATCTCGAGATATTAAATGATTTAGCACAGGCTACTTTGGAATTATGACCAAGTGAAGCCACATAGAACATATTTTATAGAGAGCCTGTTTCGGATGTGATGATTCTTAACTTGATATAAAATACCTCAATATGTATTAAAATGGCTCTGATATATTATACTCAGAAAAATATTTTCTGAATATTTAACTTATTCTGACTGTCTAAAATAGTTGTTGTGTGCTGAATTGCTCCTACCTGATGCATTTAAAATAACTGGAAGATTGAAATGCTTACTCTTCAAAAGTCACCACATAAAATACTTTCCACTAGGAGTATATTTTTTGCCTGCATAAATACAATTAGATTTTTTTATTGCTGATAGTCGACTGATTAATTTCTGATGACATAGCTACTAGCAAATACATAAAAATAGTTCTGAAACAAGAAAATAAGTATAGAAACTTGAAAATTTAACCAAAATATTTTAAGTAACTTGATGACTTCTCAGTGCAATACAAAATATTAGTTTCT